TTAAGTATTTCATATAAAGTTATAGAGATAGCCAGGTATGGTGGCTCATGCCTGTAATCCCAGCACTTTGGTAGGCCGAGGCTGGAGGAGCACTTGAGGCCAGGAATTTGAGACCAGCTTGGGCAATATAGCGAGACCCCTGCCTCTACAAAAAAAGAAAAAATTAGCCAGGCATGGTGGTGTGCATCTATAGTCACAGCTACTTGGGAGGCTGAGGAGGGAGAATTGCTTGAGCCCAGGAGTTTGAAGTTGTAGTGAGCTATAATGAGGCCACTTCACTCTAACCTGGGCAACAGAGGGAGACCCTGTCTCAAAAAAATACCTATATAGATAAATGATAAACACCAGAAGAATTAAAACAGGTTGTAAAGTTCCCAATATGAGAAAGAATACATAAATTAAAAAAACCCTAAAAAGAAAAAGAGGACAATCCATACAGCCAAAGATAGGGAACCTGGAAGGCACTAAAACCAGAAAATGTAGCATTACATTGTTAAGTACAATTGTGTCCATTCGAGTCCTCTGAGAGGCAGACCAGGATGGGATTGGAAGTGGCAGAGATCTGCTAGCAGGAATGCAAGTGAAGGCTAAAGGGGGTGGCGGCAGGGAGAGCCTTGGCCCCATGAGGCAGGTCTGGCACCTGGGAAAGAGAGATCAGGTAGGAGAAGCCTCAGACCCCAGCAGGGAAGGGAAGATCAGGTAGGAGAAGCCTCGGACCCCAGCACAGTTCCCAGACTATTTCAGCCAGATTGGTGGATAGTCCCTGAGCTAACATGGCTGGTTAGAGGAATCCCACATGGGGCAGGAATGGCCTGCCTGGCCTGGTTCTAGTAACCCCACAGTGCTTAGTCATTGGCTGGGAGCAGCCTAGGGGAGCCTGGCTATTTTTTTTATATATATAGATTTTTAGTTGGCCAATTAATTTATTTCTATTTATCATAGAGACAGGGTCTCGCTCTTGCTCAGGCTGGTCTCAAACTCCTGAGCTCAAGTGATCTGCCCGCCTCGGCCTCCCAGAGTGCTAGGATTACAGGCGTGAGCCACCGCGCCCCGCCTCACTTATCTTTCTTAAAGGATCTCAAAATGGGTTATAAAATAAAACCCAACTTGATTTTACATATCAGATCCTTTAAAAACAAAGGGATTCATAAGGTAAAAAGAGTAGATAAAGATATGCTAGGCAAATGCTGACAAAAGGAAAGATGCGTATGGCAAAAATATTTGGTAGAATTCAAGGCAAAAGGGGCACATTAAAATGAAATAAGACATAACACCTGGAGCATTAAGTCTAGGTAATAAAGCAAAAATCTATGAAAATAAAGCTTAATACTTTGGGAAACTTTAATTTGCCTAACTGTGATGTCATTATACTTTGATGTTATTACGCTTTTATTATTTAAAATGAATCCCCCACTGTTCGAATTTAGAGACATTATTTCCAGATGATGTAAGAGGAAAAAAAGACCCTGGGTCCTCAGATCAAGCCAAACTCCCTATTTAAATTCTCACTTTACATTTTATCTCTTTTACATGGCACATATCACAGTCATTTCATACTTCTTTGTGTATCTCATTTTATTAATGCCTTAATCTCCCTCTAAAATGCCACCTGACACAGAACCTAGGATAGAGTAGACTCTTGTTGAGTGACTTGCACATGCTTTCTGAGGATGAGAGAGAATATATGTAAAGCCTTCATAATATTTAGTGCTGACAGAGGGGAAATCTGTTTTTTACTCAATATTTACAGTGGACTTCTGCAGGGCACAATGCCATTACCAAAATAACAAAGACATGCAAAGTTATGTGAGGTCAGAAGGGCTCTGGCAAATGAAAAATAAAAATCCTTTTTTTTTTTGGTCTTCTTTCGTGTCAGTAACTATCCATTTTAAGGGATTCTAGTAAAGAATCAGCAAGTGAAGGAGGTTGGTTGAACCACTCCATACATGGCAAAGTTGCCAGTTGCTGCTGAAAAACAGCTCTGGCCTAAAACTTCACAACTTCTCTCTGAGCCTTCCAAGGACTCAGATGTGTGACTTAGGTCACACTGGGCCTAATATTGCTCATTGGCTCAAAATGAAGAGACATAGCGATTCGATAGTCCTCTTCTTGGGAAAGGGATCTCTCTCTTCTCCAGTATGACCTCATTCAGAATCAGTTTCTGCAGCATTCCTCTCTTGGGCAGATAGGTGGCAAGGGAAAGGTGACATAATCTCCCCAGGCCACCTGGTGAGTCAGTCGCACAACCAGGAACAAAACCCAGCTTTAGTGCTGGCTGAGACCGAGAGGCTCAGCCCTATCCCGTGACACCTCCTGCTCAATAAAATGACTAATTAAACAGTCAATTATTTGCTCTGGGACTTACTCTACAAGCAACCAGACATGGCCATGTTCCCAGGAGCACGCAAGCTACAGGAAGAGGAAATGACAGAGGCCAATAGATGGAGAACATGTTTACATTGTGAACACGCCTCACTGCACATGCTACTTGATAGCGTAGAGTAAAAGCAGAAATGTATGAGTTTGCAGCGCATTATGAACTACCTCTTTTCTAAGATGAGAGGTTTCAAAGCCTCTTTAACTTTTAACCTTGTTTGGGTTTTTGTTTTTTTTTTTTTTGGTTTTTTTTTTTTTTTTTTGCTTGTTTTATTTGGAACTTCACTCACTCCTGGGTACCAGAGTCTTTGCAAGAAGTTTCAAATAAATGGACCCAGATTATTATGGGCAGCAACCCCAGGATAAAGACTCAGAATGAAGGAAGAACAATTTCTGGGTGTGCAAATGTAGATTCATTGAGAATAGGGGCCCAGAGCAAATGCTTCCTAAATGTCTATTAGAGGAAATCAGAAAAGATGTTTCCCATTATTTTAAGAATTATTTCACCATCGTTTCACCATTAAAGAATCATTTGTAGGAGCTGATTTTTGTGAGAGGTGGAAAGCGCAGGTTCTGTGTCCGTCTTTTGTTTGAGTTGATTATCATCAACTCAGAAGACTCTCGTCTTCTGTTGGCCCATTGCAAGTTAACAGTCTTACCTTCCTGTTTCCTCCCCAAAGAATGGCCACCTGGAGCACCTTGCCTCCTCCTGAGTATCCTAAAGGGTCATCTCCAGCTTGGAGCTGGGGATTATTTGTTGTTGCAGAGCAGTTACTGAGTCCTCTACCCTGTGCTGGGCACTGTGAGGGATACACAGGTTATGAGACCCCATTTTAAGGAGATTGTGGTCTAGTAGGATAGACACATGTACATAAATACTTATAATAGGACGTTGGTACTTTGACAGAGGAGTCTGCTGACCTCCTCGTTTGTCAGCAAATTAATAAACTCCTCTTTCCTTCTCAAACCACTTGTGCTCGCTCTTCTGATGCAGCCCCGAGGACAGGTGCCAAACTTTCTGTAACATCATGGCTGTGAGAAACAAGGACAGACTGAGATACTGCCGTAAACCAAAGGAAAATAAGAATACATGACAACTAAAAGCAACGTGATTCTAGAAAAGAAAAAGGATATGAGTAGGAAAACTGGTGAAGTTGAAATAAAGTCTGCAGTTTAGGTAACAGTAATTTAGTTATGAAAGATGTTAACATTACAGGAAACTGAAGTATGTACAGAAACTCTCTGTACTATCTTTACAAATTTTCTTTAAAACTTAAATTATACACTGTTTGAGGAAGGCATCTTAAGAGAAACTTGTTTCCATTTAGGATTCATTAACTGTCCTTCCTCCAGACAGCCTGCTGGCCCCACCTGCTGCTGTCACGTCAGCTCTGACCTGGATTTCCTTGCTTTCTACCCTGCCGGCCGCTCTACAAAGCTGAAGGCAGTCGGGAGTGCTTGTAGTCCCAGCCACTGGGGAGGCTGAGAAAGGAGGATTGCTTGAGCCCAGGAGACCACCCTGGACAAAAGTGAGACCCTATCTTAAAGTATTTTTTTAAAAAACAATATTGTGGAAAAAAACAGTAAAATTATATTCTGTAATTGTGATTCCTGAATTTAAAAATTACCAAGAAACTGAAGTACACTTCTTTATAGTAGTCTCTATAAAATAAACTAATCAAAATCAAATAGGTTTTTGTTTGTTTGTTTGTTTGTTTTTTGAGACAGAGTCTTGCTCTGTTGCCCAGGCTAGAGTGTCGTGGCATCAGCCTAGCTTACAGCAACCTCAAATTCCTGGGCTCAAGTGATCCTCTTGCTTTGGCCTCCCAGTGTGCTCAAAATCAAGTAATTCAGGCAATAAAGATAGATCAACAGTCTTTGAGTCCAATTGGTGATAGTCTTTTTTGGGGGCAAGAATGGTGATTAAGAACCATATTTCACTGTTAAATGACCTTATTTAAAAAGATATCCATTTGCATGGTTAGCCTGGTAACACAAGTCATAGTAACCTGGAAACCCACTGAAAGAGACATAAGAATTGAAAAATTTTGGGAATAGCCAAGAGTTAAACAAAAATCATTGGGGGCCATTGTTTTATACTAAACTCCTGCAGTAGGCCCCGGTAGATCAGACTAAAAATCAAAATGGGGTCACCCATGCTCACCAAATTAAAAGTGAGTTGTTATCTGGTCTTCTGAGATACCAGGAAAGAGAAAGATAACAGCCTAATTTCCAAACAAAATAAATAAACAAATAAATACTCACACCCCTGAAAGTGTGCTTTCATTGTGCTGCCCACAAGGCACGTAAAGGGGTTTTGGGAGTCCTGGCGTGGAGGACAGTGGTTATGGCGGGGAGAGTTGGAGAAGGCGTCACTGAGGGGACTTTAGGGTTAGACTTTGAAAGAGGGTGGGATTTGGAAGAATCGCTTTCCTGGTGAAACTAGAGGGCACTACTCATGGGCTCTGGATCGAGTATGACTTTGCAACTTCATTCAGCTAGATCCAGCCCCTTGCCAGGTGCTATAAGGAACGTGAGAACTCTGGCAAGTGTGGGACAGCTCTCTTGCTTTAAACCCATCCTAGGAAAGAACTGTCATGATGTCGTCTAATTTTTATTTTCAGACACAGATGAACCATGTCCTTCATTCACCAGACTGAGCTTTCACAGTGCAGTGGTTGGCACGGGACTAAACGTGAAGCTGATGCTGTACACAAGGAAAAACCTGACCTGTGCACAAGCCGTCAGCCCCACAGATTTGGGGAGCTTGAATGTGACCAAGAAAACCACCTTCATTGTCCATGGATTTAGGCCAACAGGCTCCCCTCCAGTTTGGATAGGGGACTTAGTAGAGGGTTTGCTCTTTGTAGAAGACATGAACGTGGTTGTCGTTGATTGGAATCGAGGAGCTACAACTGTAATATACAGCCATGCAGCTGGCAAGTCCAAAAACGTAGCTGTAGTCTTGAAGGAATTTATCGACCAGATGTTGGTAAGAGAATTCTCTTAGATGATTCAGGGCCAAATTGAAACTGGCCCATTATCTGAAGGTTTAAAGTCAAAAGATATCTGCAGTGAACAGGGTGACTATTTTGCAAATACGAATAAGCCCCAGGGAAGGTGGGGGTAGGGACTGCACGCAGGCATGGTTGCACAGGTTGCACACTACACAGGGCACCCATCCAAGGTATCATCACAGTCATTGTAGACATTGTAGATTTATATATTTGGGATGACAATTTTCTAACAGATGACGACAAAGTATATTGAGGAAGGGCATCTTTTTCTTTCCTTTCTTTCTTTCTTTTTTTTTTTTTTTTTTTTGAGACAGAGTCTCACTTTGTTGCCCAGGCTAGAGTGAGGGCCGTGGCGACAGCCTAGCTCACAGCAACCTCAAACTCCTGGGCTCAAGCAATCCTACTGCCTCGGCCTCGCGAGTAACTGGGACTACAGGCATGCACCACCATGCCCGGCTAATTTTTTTCTATATATCTTTAGTTGGCCAATTAATTTCTTTCTATTTATAGTAGAAACAGGGTTCACTCTTGCTCAGGCTGGTTTCGAACTCTTGACTTCGAGCAATTCACCTGCCTCAGTCTCCCAGAGTGCTAGGATTACAGGCGTGAGCCACCTCGCCCAGTCATCTTTTTCTAACTCACATAAAGATGTCTTATGGGCAGGAAAGATTCAGTCTAGGGGTTTCCTAGTTTAAACTCCTAAGAGGTTCCTCAACTTCTCTGGCTGTTCCTTTTGCTAAGACTGCCAAAAGTTTAGTGACCAGGTAATCCAAACTGAGTGAGACACGTGGTCTGATGAGATGATTGATGTTTTTAGAAGACTTGCAAAACTTAAACTTTAAATTTTATTTAGTGGTCTATCTCATGAGATGCCCCTTGTAACAACAACAACAAAAGTGACATGAAATCAGGACAATTCAGAGGCAGTCAGGTCTGGTAACCCTTGTGGCCAAGGATGACGTGATTTACAGGAGCTTCCCATCTAAGCCACAGCCCCAGGAAAGTAAATACTAAACTGACTAATGACAAGCCATCCCAGCAGCATAGGGACAGTGTGGTCCACTCTCTGTCCACGCTTTCCTCCTTTCCTTCCCTCTCCATCATGATTTCTTTAACTGAGCCAGTATGAAGTTAAGGGAGTTCATCAAAAATGTATTGTTGCCCCTCTCCCCAGTCTGGAAAGGTCTGGACTTGGACAGATTGGTTTGAATCCTGCTCTGCTCCCTCACCAATTGCCTGACCTGGGGCTGATGACTTCAATTCTGGGACTCAGTTTCCTTACGATCCTGTATGATTCCTGTATAATCCAAAGAATAGTATTTAGGAGAATGAGCTGAATCTCTCTCTCCTACTACAAAACCATATTGCAATAGTTCTTGAATAAAGTCTTCCCTGCCACCCCTCCCCCCAAAATAGTGTTTACTTTGCGGGGGCGTTATGACTTTTAAGTGAGATAATAGATGCTTAGAAATATTTCTTCAAAGTCAACAGCTAGGAAATTTCTCCAAATGTTGTCAACTCCTTGGCCCCTTACAACTTGTAATGACGGACCTCTTGACATTCTAGGCAAACGGAGCTTCTCTTGACAACATTTACATGATTGGAGTAAGTCTAGGAGCCCACATAGCCGGGTTTGTTGGAGAGATGTACGACGGGCAGCTGGGGAGAATTACAGGTAAGACCCATGAACAGGCACGGGGCGGCGGCCTGGGCAGGGTGTTCCTGGGGGAGCATTATTCGGGCAATCCAACTCTTTGGGTTCAAAGCCAGCTCTTCCAATTACTTAACCTCTCTAAGTGTAGATCCTCTTGTGCAAAAGGAAGACCATAATAATATTGACCTCAGGTTATTATTTAATAAAATATAAGTAAAGCACATTGTCAATTGTATATGCCACAGGAAAGATTGGTGGGGTCTTTATGTCTCTATGGCTAGAAAAACAGCTGTGTCCCATGGGTATTTGGTCTGTGTGCCCCAAACAGACAGCCTCCTTCCTTTCATGGAATCTAGGTTAGCTTCAGTTACAGACCTGATACACCTCGGTCCCCAAGCATGGCTGGAGTCTCATGGTAAGAAAATGAAATGGGAATTTTGATGGCTGGGGCTTACTCACTAAATATCAGCTTTCAGGCCAGCACTGAATGGAAATACTCAGAAATACTGCTGTCAAACCCCAAACAAAGACTCCTTTGCTAGGATCTCTTGCCTAGTGCTTCGTAACTTTCCACAGCTACACGTCACGGGCTGAGGGTGGCTGTCTCTTTCAGACTCCAGGCGTCTCCCATTCACCTTTCCCAGAGAGCTCTAGCTCGCTGGAGCCTCAAATTCCTCGGCTCAAGTGATCTGGCCGCCTTCTGAGTAGCTAGGACTACAGGTGCTCACTGCCACACCTGGCTAATTTTTAAATTTTTTTGTAGGGACAGGGTCTCGCTATATTGCTCAGGCTTGTCTCAAACTCCTGGGCTCAAGCGATCTTCCTTCCTTGACCTCTCAAAAGTGCTGGGATTACAGGTGTGAGCCACCATGCCCAGCCCCCAGAGAGCTGTTTTAAATCTAGAGAATCTGAAAAGGTAAAAGTGGCTGGAGGGAGGGAAGAGGTAAATGATTCAAACCAACTACACTTGGGAGGTAAACTTTTAGGACCACAAGTCTAAATGTGCTACTTAAGCTTGGCAGGTAGCTCTGTGCATGTCATTTCTGTGTCACACCCCCTGTGTTTTCTGGCATCTCCTCTAGCCCTGGTACCCAAGGATACATTGTTTGTCCTGGATGGTTTTTTCTCACTTTTGCCCCAAAGGCCAAGGCTGCCTTCATCTTATTTACTTGCTTTCCTAGTAAAACAAGCTCTTTTTATGTTTTAAAATTTATTATTATTTACAACAAGCAATATGTCTTTACTTTTTAAAAATTTTATTTTCCCTCACGTATAGAAAGAACAGATGGCTTGAATTTACCTGTATCCCTTATGTGTTGGGAGTCTGGGAGTCCCTCTTCTAGCGGGTGGGACTTTTCCCAGTGGTGGGAAAGTTGACCAGCTCTCAAAAAGAAGGAATAAGAAGGAGAAGGAGGAGGAGGAGGAGGAGGAGGAGGAGGAGGAGAAGGAGGAGAAGCAGCAGCAGCAGATTTTGCTAATTTTCATGGTGTAAATATTCCTACCATGGCTGATTTCCAGCTACCAACCTGACACCATTGACCACAGAGTTTGGGAAGACAGGAGCAAACTCTGCCCTCCAGCGCTGGCACTGCTTTCTTCTATCTATTCATATGCCCCAGTTTCACCCCTTAGCCTCCCAACAAACTTGTTCCCACAAGTACTTTGATTTTTTTTTTTTAAAGAGATGGGCTGAGGTTCAAGCAATTCTCCCATCCCAGCCTCCGGAGTAACTGGGTCTACAGGTGTGAGGCACCATGCCCAGCTCCCTCGGATACTTTGAATGTGAACTGCAAGGTATTCAGGTCTCTGACTATGGAAATATCCAAAGCCAGACTTCCTTCCTCTCTGGGCCCATGTGGCCCTGTTCCATGGCCTGGACTCAACCAATGATCCACAGCTCAATTTTCTATCTCCGCTGACTTCCTCATGTTGTCCAGATTTCTTATCACCTCTGAGCCCCAAGATCAATCTCAGCTGTCCCCAAGAGCAGCTTCAGAGGGAAACATTTCCCCTCCTCTTGCCTTGCATGGGTGGACTCACTGTATTGTTGGATGGGAATGTGGCCTGTTACCCATCCAATAGCTGTAGCTATTGCTGCTCAACTAGCTGCTCTGGGGAAGATGATCTCGTGACCTCTGCTCCATGGAGCCATCTCCTGTGCTTTAAGACACTAGAAGCAAAGAACATCCCTCTGCCCTTCTGATTACTGGCTTTGGGCAGGGATGCAGGTTTTAATTCCCAGGAAGAGTTGGAGGGGGGAGTTTAAAGAGACAGATCATAAAACATTTTGCTCTTTTTCAGGCCTTTACCTGTTACAATGCCACCACTGTCAGCTAATTTTTTTGTGGAGATGGGGATCCCCTATGTCACCCAGGCTGGTCTTGAACTCCTAGCCTTTAGAGAGCCTTCTGACTGTGCCGTCCAAAGTATTGGGGTGACAGGTGTGAGCCACAGTGCCCCACCCCTGGTTGTTTTATCTGCATGGATCTGGAGGTTGCTATAAACTCAGGCTCTCCACTGTTAATTTTCTTAGGCAGGAAGTGGTGCTGTCTTGTGTGAGGAGGGAGTGGTCCCCCCAGCGAGGTGATGAATTTTTCACGTTGTGTTGAGAAAGTCCTGTGGACTCATTGCCTGGATGTTGATCATTTTCTCCCATGTTAGTATCAGCAGGGAGTAGAAAGGCTGGCAGAACAAAAGAGGAAGAGAGAAGAAAGGAGGCTGGTAAAGAAATGCCTCAAGAAAGCAAAAGAGCTTGGCAGAGGACCAAAGGAGAGACTATAGCTAGAACCAGGGAAGTTGAGGCAACAATGCTACCTCTTAGATTTTATATGTAACACCAGAGGATGAGAGATGTCATTTAAAATGACATTCATAGATTAAAAACTTCAAGGGAGATATCCCTTGAAACCTTCACTCCAGGGAGGGCTCTAGTAAGCAAATCCTTTTTGAGCCTCTGGCTTTTTTTTTTTTAAGTTCTAATCGTGTGTGTGTGTGTGTGTGTGTGTGTGTGTGTGTGTGTGTGTGTGGTTACATCATCGTAAAAGCTCCTCTCCTGTTTTCCCAGCTGTTTCATAGAGAGGAACGCCCAACTAACATTGATCAGGGTGAAGAAATCAGTTCAGGCATTTATGGTGTGGGTTAATTCTGCGAGGATTGACACCCACTTAATTTCATCTTCCATACCTGGCCTGATACCTGGCTTGACCAGTGAGTTTCGCCCTTTCCAGCTGAGCTTGCTAAACTCAGCAGTGAAACCCAGAGCTCAATGAATAGAGGTAGTTGCATCATGAGGCTATGTTCTGGTCAAGACACTTAATCTCTCTGAACTTCTCAGTCCATTCATCTGTAAAATGGGAATAATAATTCCTACCCTGCCTCCCTCACAGGTTTGCAATGTGGATCAAGTGAGCTAGAATATATGAATAAAAGTGGATGCTATAAAGGAATTTTATTAATAACAAGAGTGGGCTGTTTCTGGATCATATAAAATAGGATAAAGATGAGTACAGCATATGCTTTTTTCTCTTTTTAAAGTTTTTTTTTTAGGAACGGGGTTGCATTCTGTCCCCCAGGCTGGAGTGCAGTGGTGTGATCGTAGCTCACTATAACTTCGAAGTCCTGGGATCAAGCAATCCTCCTGCCTTAGCCTTCCGAGTAACTGGAACTACAGCTCTGCACCACCATGCACAGCTAATTTTTCTTATTTTTTATAAAAAACTAGGGGGGGTGGGTAGATTGTGTGTCACCCAGGCTGTTCTCAATCCCCTGGCCACAAGCTATCCTCCTGCCTTGGCCTCCAAAAGTCCTGGGATTACAGGTGTGAACCACCTAGTCTGGCCTTTTCTCTTTTTTACGCATCCTTTGGTGCTTTTTTCCCCTGAGGAACCAGTTTAACCCCACCCTCGGATGCCTGTGTGTGTGTGTGTGTGTGTGTGTGTGTGTGTGTGTGTGTGTGTTCCCTGCTGTTGAGCTCTGCAGGAGGTTTGCGTCCTGATGGAGTCTGGATGCAGCCCTCGGGCACTGCCAGGCTGCCAGTGTAATGTCTCACTGTGGGAACAAGCCGCAGGGCTGAGGAAAGGAGTCCTGACAAAGTAGGATGGGAATGTGCGTGCTCGCCCACCCAAGGGTGCCCTGCAGCTTGTGAGCCACCATCATCCGAGGGATCAAAGCCCTGGCTGCAGGTGACTCATGGCATGGGGCTGCCAAGTGACTCTGTTTTCCTTCCAGGTCTCGACCCTGCGGGCCCTCTATTCAATGGGAGGCCTCCCCAGGATAGATTGGATCCGAGTGACGCACAGTTCGTTGATGTCATCCATTCCGACACTGATGGTAACATTCCTGTCCTTGTGGGCCAGTGCCCCCCCCCAAGCATCTTCCTCCCCACGTCCCCTCCCCTCTGCCCCTCCGCCCTGGGGAGATCATCATGTAGGGACAGATCAGGTTGCTCTAGGTTCCCACTTTTCCTACCAGGCAGGTTCCCAAATCCACAGAAATATTGAAGGGAAGCTGCTTTAATGCAGGCACCCAGGAACTTGTGCTGGAGTGGGGATGATTTTCCCATCATCTGTATCTCTCTTTTTTTTTTTTTTTTTTTTTTTTTGAGCGATCATTGTGCCCTGAAGGACAGGCCAATTTGCACAATATGTGAACAAATGTTTTCCTATGTGCAGCTGGGTTTGGAGGCATGATTTGCATGATTTCCTGGTTTTGCTGGTTCTTTCTCATTATTTCTTCAAGCAGAAAGGTACATTTACGTGTTGTGTCTCTGCACACAGACCGACATAGACTCACCTGCAGCTCTCTAGCTCTCTGTAGATCTTCCTGGCCATCTCTGATTTTCACGATGTTAGTTTCATTTCAAGGATGGGTGTTTATATCCGGATATCTAGGAGAACAGCTGGAGTAGGGACTTGGGAAAGGTTGCGGGAGTAGAGTGGAGTGGTCGTTTAATCATACATCCCCTCCGTGATACAACCACCTAACACACCATGACCACCTGTCTTGGCACTCTGGTGTGGGATTCAGGAATTGTTTGCTTTAAGAAGAAATGTCTCTTTGTGAAACAGCTGCATTACTGTGGAGTTTGCAAAGTACTACCTTACATAAATGCAGTACCTCAATGACACGTTAATGCTTGGTGGAATAGAGCAATTTATTTTTTTATTTCTGGAAAGCAAATTTTGAAGGAACGAACATGAGCTTTGAAGTCAGGTGGATATGGATTTAAATCCCAAGTTTTGCTCTTTGTATTGATATCATGTTAGTTCCTTAAGTCCTCTGAGCCTCTGTATCTTTTTTTTTTTTTTTAATTTTTTTTGAGACAGAGTCTCACTTTGTTGGCCAGGCTAGTGTGAGTGCCATGGCATCAGCCTAGCTCACAGCAACCTCAATCTCCTGAGCTCAAGCCATCCTCTTGCCTCAGCCTCCCAAGTAGCTGAGACTACAGACATGCGCCACCATGCCCGGCTAATTTTTTCTATATATATTAGTTGGCCAATTAATTCCTTCCTATTTTTATAGTAGAAATGGGGTCTTGCTCTTGCTCAGGCTGGTTTCGAACTCCTGACCTCGAGCAATCTGCCTGCCTGGGCCTCCCAGAGTGCTAGGATTACAGGCGTGAGCCACCGCGCCCGGCCTCTCTGTATCTTCATCTAAGTTACTTCATCTGATTTTACCAATAGCTACTTTGTAGAGATTGTGAAACTCAGAAGAAAAGTATGTAGAACACCTACTATCATGTCCACAGACACATGTTGGTTCTCAATATATACGTATTATTACCATGATGAACTCTATATACATATTCATATGCATATGTACCTATATAATCTTAATCAAGCATTTTTATCGATTATTTTGGAGTTACATAGTTAAAGAAAATAAGCAGTTAAGTCTATCTATAAATTTTTCAGTCCCCATTTTCTAGAAGTATTTCCAATTTATTTACTATCCTGGATCCCAAATATTTAAAAAAATTAATTTTTTGCTATTTCTTAATCGTTCAAGATTTACACAAATGCAAATAGATGCTCAGGAAGCACCTGGCATTTCAACCAAATGTAAAGAGGAAATGTATGATTTTATGAGTCTTGCAGTAAGTTATGTCTTTAGAAATATTAGAAGTAAATTGTGGCTCACGCCTGTAATCCTAGCACTCTGGGAGGCCGAGGCAGGAAGATCCCTCAGTCAGGAGTTCGAAACCAGCCTGAGGAAGAGCAAGACCCCGTCTCAACTAAAAATAGAAATTAATTGGCCAACTAAAAACATATAGAAAAAATTAGCTGGGCATGGTGGCACATGCCTGTAGTCCCAGCTACTCGGGAGGCTGAGGCAGAAGGATTGCTTGAGCCCAGGAGTTGGAGGTTACTGTGAGCTAGGCTGACACCACAGCACTCAATCTAGCCTGGGCAACAGAGTGAGACTCTGTCTCAAAAAAAAGAAAAAAAAAGTAAATTCCATTATCATCTTTGCAGTCATTTTGTTGGAAATTGTTGCTTTCTAACTAACTATCTGGGTAACTTTGTGCAAAACATTTAAATAGCTATAACAATAATGCTAACAACAACAAAAATAAAATAATACTATAATTCCTGCCTATATCCTGCAAGCAAATGAGCTATGAGATATGAAAAGTTCAAAGCAGTATAAAAGCATAGTATGTTCTCTTTTAGCACTGGGCTACAGAGAACCATTAGGAAATATAGACTTCTACCCAAATGGAGGAGCGGATCAACCTGGTTGTCCCCAAACAATATTTGGAGGTAAGTGCAGATACTTTGTATTTTGTAAAATAGTGGTTTGAAAAAGGTATATTTTTAAAATCCGATATTATTCTACATGGAATAGTTTTCCATAGAAGATTAATTTCCTGAGAAGATAGAGGTGATATAAATATAAATTATAAATTAAAAATTGAAACTCAAATATACTATTTTTAAAAACTATAACCATATGATTAAAAGCTATTATAAATTATTCTCTCTTGAAAAGGTGTGTCTTTGACCTAGAAAGTCCACATCTGGAAACCTTTCCTAGAGAAATGATGGAAAATATAGACAAGCATTAGAGTGCAAAGATAGTTAAAGTTTTAGAAATAGTCAAAGGCCAGGCACAGTGGCTTATGCCTATAATCCTAGCACTTTGGGAGGCCAAGGCAGAAGAATTGCTCGAGCCCAGGCGTTTGAGGTTGAAGTGAGCTATGATGACACTACTGCACTCTACTAGCCTGGGTGACAAAGTGAGACCCTGTCTCAAAAACAAAAACAAAAAAAGTGAAGTAGGGAGACAGAATATAAAAACCCACCCCTAAATGTTGTAAATCTATATTTTATCATTGCTAAAGTAAAAGAGCCATGCAAATAATTATAGACAAAAAGATGATCTTTTTACAAAATGGCAGCTTTGTTTTGGCCCATTGGAGTGACATAGTATTTGAAAATTATCTGACTGAAATAATATAAATAGGTCCAACCACATTGTATAATACCATAGTGAGTGTTCAAATCCCACCCTGATGGTGTAACTACATCCAAAGCAGCCGAAGATAAGGTACTTTGCTCACAAAAGATATCCGCTGTATTCTTTTTTTTTTTTTTTTTTTTTGAGACAGAGTCTCACTCTGTTGCCTGGGTAGAGTGCCGTGGCATCAGCCTAGCTCACAGCAACCTCAAACTCCTGGGCTCAAGCAATCCTCCTGCCTCAGCCTCCTGAGTAGCTGGGACTACAGGCATGCATCACCATGCCCAGCTAATTTTTTTTTCTACATATTTTTAGTTGGCCAATTAATTTCTTTCTATTTTTGGTAGAGATGGGGTCTTACTCTTGCTCAGACTGGTTTCGGATTCCTGACCTTGAGCGATCCACCTGCCTCGGCCTCCCAGAGTGCTAGGATTACAGGCGTGAGCCACCGCGCCCGGCACCCGGCCTCCGCTGTATTCTTATTGACCTTGTTTCTGCAAAAGGAAGTTCCAGGAACAGTCAGTTAACGTTCACCTGCCAGGTTTCACTCCGGTCCAGCTTGGCCCCACGTTAGCCCCACACTTCTCTCTTCTTGCCCTTCTAGTTCTCTTTGTCCTTCACTGATCTCTCCTGTGGGCACAAGTGGACTCTGGCAGAAGAGGGAATGATCCAGAGCCCAGCACCTCTCCAAACCACTGGCTCACAATCACAGCTCCTGTTCTCATGGGGTTTACTGTTTCCTATTTGAATCCTCACATCCACTGATTTCCCATCTTTTGGACCCAGTTCTCTTTTTTGAATGACATCAGCTTCTGACCCCTCAACCTTCTGACAGCCTCTGTGCTGCAGTTCATCATCTCCAGCTCTTCTGACACCGTCCCTATGTGTCACCAGCTTCCTGTCTCACCATCACACTGCATGGCCCCACGAAGAACTAACTTGAGGTCCACCTCCCACCTCCATTCATCACTTCTAGTGCCACCTCCTATCATTCAGCCCCTCACTTCACCCTTGTAGCAGAAATGGAGTCCCTGCCACCTGGCTGCTATCATGAATGCCCTGTCCACCCCCAGACCTTTAGGCCTCAGCCAGGTCAGTTCCACTTTTGCTTGGGAACGTTGCTGGAGAAGTCATGAAGCCTTGTTGATTGAATATTTGGTTGAGTACAAGGTCCAAGTAAACTTACTACCTTCTCCCTGGCTTTCAATAATGCCAGAGAATCCTCTTGTTCCTCTCTTGCTGACTTCCTAGGATCATTCCTCATGCTTCTTTCCCAAATATCTCCTTCTTACACACTCTCACCTCTAAGAGGTAAGCTAGAGTTGACTTTTGTGCCTAGATCAAGGTCCCATGTAAGAGGGCCATTTCATCTATCCTCATCTTAGTTCCCAAGAATGTAAAGACCGTGTTCATGTTCTCTCCTTTAGAGCGTCCCCCACCCTTTTTCAAAGCTGTCTCCTCTGTGTGCCTTCCTCTTGGGGTCTTCCTCTACCAGTCCACTCCCTACCGCCTTCCTCCCCTGATGCCTTTACTCGTTCCTTCTTCCGTGGCTCATTGCCTCTGCCTTCTGCAGAAAACCTCTGGGGAATTGCTCACACTCATTGAATTGTTCTCCTTCTTTCCACTGACAAACCCACCTATGAATGAAGGGTCTTCATTTCTGCTTCCATCTCCTAACTGGCAGGAATGATATGCGCATGAGGGTTCTTTCTTCATATTATTCTCTCAATTTTTATGCCTGTTTGAAAATTCTCATAATAAATGTGGAAGAGTAGTGAGAGAGGTATATGATTGAAGCCAGTTGCTTGAGTTCCTTTCAATCTCCCTTTAAGTAACATATTGAAAAAAGCATGATAAAAAGGAATAAATTAATGATTAACTAATGATTTGCTCTTTCTTTTTTTCCTCACTAACTCAATTGACTTACTGACTGACAGACTCTCTCTCCTATGATTTGCTCTTTTTTTTTTTTTTTTTTTTTCCTGCTGGGAAATCTCTCCCTGACTCTTTTTGGATTGTTCAAAAACACAGAGATGGGCACATGCAAAATTATGATGTTTGAAAAGTTGCTCCTATGATTTTTTTTTTTTTTTTTTGGGACTATAGGCATGCGCCACCATGCCCAGCTAATTTTTTCTATATATATTAGTTAGCCAATTAATTTCTTTCTATTTATAGTAGAGGCAGGGTCTCACTCTTGCTCAGGCTGGTTTCGAACTCCTGACCTCGAGCAATCTGCCTGCCTCGACTTCCCAGAGTGCTAGGATTACAGGCATGAGCCACCGCACCCGGCCTATGATTTGCTCTTGTGATAACAATTTTGGTAATCCCTCCTGATTCTCCATGACCCAGGAAGGTAGGCCACTTGACCCAGACACCATTGGTGCCAGTAGCTGTCAACCTGACAAGTGGACACTGACGTAATCTTTTGCAGGGAAGTGGCCCTGCAAAATTAGACCAGAGGCTTTCAACTTTTATATAGTTCAAGATCACATGGGGAATATGTGATTGATAAATGAGCAATCAAGGTCTTTAATTAAAGCATGTTTGCTTTAATTCTTGCCACAACCTTATTTATTTATTTATTTATTTATTTTTCGAGAAAGTCTCACTCTGTTGCCCAGGCTAGAGTGCCGTGGCATCAGCCTAGCTCACAGCAATCTCAAACTCCTGGGCTCAAGCTATCCTCCTGCCTCAGCCTCCCAAGTAGCTGGGACTACAGGCATGCACCAGGATGCATGCCTAATTATATATATATATACATATATATATATATATATATATTTTTTTTTTCAGTTGGCCCATTAATTGGGTCTCGCTCTTGCTCAGGCTGGTCTCAAACTCCTGAACTCACACGATCTGCCCGCGTCAGCCTCCCAAAGCACAACATTAATTTGATTTAATTTTTTATCCTGCCACTTGCCAGCATGAATTCTTACCTATGGGTGTTTATAAAGATTAAATGGAATGAGGTACACAGAAGGTTTTCACACAGTGCCAGATGATAAATTGTGTGTGTATAAAATATGGGATATACTATCATTAAATACCTCAACTTAATCTAATCATTTCTCTTACAACCAAGGATTGCAGTATTTTAAATGTGACCACCAGAGGTCTATGTACCTGTACCTGTCTTCCTTGAGAGAGAACTGCACTATCACTGCATATCCCTGTGACTCCTACCGGGATTATAGGAATGGCAAGTGTGTCAGTTGCCTCACACCACAAAAGGAGTCCTGTCCCCTCCTGGGTAAGTCCAATGATCAGTTTCCTCTCTGATTAAAAAAGAGCTAACTTTTGGTATGGACTCCAGAATCATTTTACTATCTAAAAATAGGCCCCAAAATTGTATTTTAAAAGAAAATTATAGTCAGCTTTTTCTAGCCAATTTGTTCTTTGAGCTACTCTAGTCTCCTAATAATAGACAGCATAGAAAAGGAATTTGTGTTTCATCCAGAAGGTAGTACAACCTCCCTGGACACGCCATTCTAGTATGGAAAAGAAGGTTCCAGAAGAGTTTCTAAGCCCAGCCAGGGGATAGTCACTTAACATAGCTTGCTCCTTTTGGGACAGGAACACCTTCCCTGGGCATATAATCTCTTTGCTGGGAGAAGGTCTATAGGGAGCCCAGAGACCCTCCTGCCATATGAGCCTTGCAAAGTGACCCCTTCCAGAGAGTTCTGTCTATAAATGCCTCACTTCAAACTCTGGCTCTTGTGTGTATGTACAGGGAGTGGGGTTGATCCTGTGGAGGCTGCTCAGGTATTTGCTAGGGGTTAGTACAAATATTCTAGGTGGTTAGGGCTTTGAAATTGGATGATCACGAGAATTTTCTGATTTTTTCCAAAAGGAAAAACCCAAATTAACAGCAGAGCATGCTAGAGACAAGAGGTTCTCAACTTTGTGCATTAGAATCACCTGGGGAGTTTTTAAACATACTGATGCCTTAAAGAAAAGACAAATATTTAAGGTGATGGATATCCCAAGTATACTGATTTGATCTTTATAAATTTTATGAATGTATTAAATTATCACATGTACCCTGAGACTATGTACTTCTATTGTGTATCAATTAAAAAAATACTGATGCCTGGGTCCCACCCCAGATCAATGAAGTCAGAATCTGGAGGCCATTCTCTTGGCTTGGGGACAGAGGAGAGAGTGAGGCCCTTAGTAAGCACTTAACCTTGTTTCCTGTAGGCACAGATGTGAAGGGCACTTACCTGCTTGGTGACATAGTCACATGGCAAGGTTCTGTGCAATTTAGGTCCCCCTCCCCCCGTAGTTCTTTAGGAAAGCATATTGCTTTGCAAGAGCGATGCTACTTTAGGTATGAACCTGAATCTGTTTTAATCTAGAAAATGAATGTATTACTGAAAAATGTCAATGCTATTTTTAGTCCACGCCAATGTGTGCCACTCCCCGCTCCCTTGCCCTGTTACTGGGAAGCAGTAAGGGGGGTGGGGAGGAAACCACTGTAGGGTCCTTTTGCATTCCAGCTCTTAGGGACAGGGTCAGCCAGCAAGATGGATGGCCCTGCAGATCCTCTCCATGGGGAGTGGGAGGGTGGGAGGGAGGTTGTCTCAGTGGTGGTGGTTATTGTCAACCTTGCTGTTCTTGCTATCTCAGTTGCTTTTACATTTATATAATACATATTAATGTTACACCTTTCCAACTTGTTTTATAGGCTATTATGCTGATCATTGGAAAGACTATTTAAAGGAGAAAGATCCCCCAATGACTAAGGCATTCTTTGACACAGCTGAGGAGAAGCCATTCTGCAGTGAGTGGTGCATGTGGTTGTTTGCTTTAGCCCAGCCCTTTCATTCTGTGGATGCCTGATTCTTAGCTTCCTAGCTACTTCTTGGCAAATGAGGTGAAGCAATGGTGAAGCATGGACTTTGGAGCTGGAAGGACCTAGGTCAAATTCTGATTCTATCATATAATAGCTGTGTGACTTTGGTCAAGTCATTTAACCTCTGAATCTCAGTGTCCTGATTGGTACAATGGAGATAATAATGCCTATCTTCTAGGATATTAAAATTAAAATCTCAATAAATCACAGTTGTTAGCTTCACTGGATGGCCTTTCCCATCCCTAAGATCTTCTAGAATTGCTTGATTTCCCAAGAGACATGAAACTGGGCCTAGGAAAAATCAGATGTCAGCCACATCTATGGATCAGTTCCAGCCCTAAAGCAACCACAATGACCAAAGGGCATCAAGAGGTTGAGTATTCCAGATGAGAACTGAATGGGGCAGCAGATGGTTTGATGCCTTGGGAAGCAACTGGGATTTGCCTGGGAAGATGCATGTCTTTCTTGCAATCTTGCAACCCTTTTCATTTTTCTTGGAAACAACTGTTCTAAAATAAGTTGCAGATCACTGTGTTTCACTCTTCCATTGGAGCCATGGATTTGGCATCTGCCTGGGCTGCAAGTCCCTGAGCAATAATGAGCCATGAAATGGCACCTCCAGGACTGACCTTCTTCCTTCATGGGATCATTGTCTCCCTGAGCCTCTTTCCCTTTCTCTGAAAGTTTGTTCAGGAGTCAGTGAATCTAACCATTATGAAGGGATGGATCCCATCTTCCCAAAACATACTTGACTTTGGGAAGCAAAGAGTTGGGAGAAGACACATCATATGTTTCAATTTATTTAACAGGAGCTTATTGGGTGCTACTGGGATTATAAAGAGGAATAATCATCCCTTCCCAGTTATTGTAGTATTTCTAATTTTATGTTTTTAAAAAACTCACAAGACATTATTCAGGCAATATTTCCATAGATGTATCCACATATTTACCACTTTTGTTGATTATCATTCTCTCTTGCATTTTGTGAATAGTCAAGTGTGCTGAGTAATGATGGGGGAAGTCCAGAGAACGATAGGAGCTCCAAGAAAGGAGACCTGACTTAGTTTGGAGGTCAGGGAAGGTTCATGGAAGAAATTACATTAAGCTGAAACCTGAAGGATGGGTTTGAAAAGCTGGCAAAGTAAGAGTGTCCAGGTGGGGGAAAGCCCAGGAACAAGAGATAGTTGGCAGTGTGGGGAGTGCAGGTGGCTTGGCAGGACCAGGAAAGAGTTGAGGGAGGTTGGGTATGTTGGTGGACATGGCCCAAATTCATGTTACATATTCCATTGTTGGAAGACCCTTGTCGGCCATGGAGGGTCTCCAGATGGCCACTTAGTAGTTCATTCTAAAATGGGCAGGCATTGAAGTGAACTGGCAATAGGCCAGTTCAGCAGCATCAGGCCAGAGACTTCAGTCGATAGGTGTGAACACCGATTCAACTGTGAGGCCTGAACATGGCAACTGGATAGCACTGAACCCTGCTGTCACTCATGCAGTCTTTACCAAAGAGAAGAGAAAGGAACGTTAGAAAATTCTGCCCTGGATCTTTGCAGAGAAACTAGAGATAAAGGGAAAAAGAGACTCGGTTATAGGGAAGTTGGGTTTTTAGGAACTGGCCGTTGAAGGAAGTAGTTGGGAGTATCTCTCTCTTACCATGTTCTTTCCCTGTTTTGCAGTGTATCATTACTTTGTGGATATTCTAACTTGGAACAAGAACATAAGAAGAGGAGACATTACAATCAAATTGAGAGACAAAGCTGGAAACATCACAGAATCCAAAATCAATCAGTAAGTTGAGTTGCAATAGTTTACACTTTGCTGATCCTCTTTTTGCTCAGAGAAATGAAATCCTACGTATTCCTACTTTCTTCTTCATAGGTCTGTACTTTTCCTTGTTCTACAAAAAAAAAAAAAAAAAAAAAAAAAGAAAAAAAAAAAAAAAAGATATAAGGAGACATACTGCTTAGTTCCT